GCATCAGTGCTACTTTTTCTTCTTCAACACTTAGCTGAATGGTTGGCCGTAGTGATTGTTCACCATTTGGTCCTTTCCTATGTGGTAGCAAGGGCTAGACAGTCCAAGAGTCCAACATCGGAACAGACTTGACACACCCATGTAACAAGGGGTTTGCCTCCGGGTCCCCTCCATCCTCGGTTGGTGGAATTTTATCCCGGATGTTACAAGCCACCTGGAGACCGGCATTTGCTGGAATGTCTTGTGGCATTCTTGTGACATGTCCGAAAAGCGTAAGATGCTGTCTGTGGACAGTGGCCCCAGTAATCTGTAGATCGGAGCAACCGTAAACGTCTGCATTACAAATGAAGTTGTTCCACTTTATGCCCAATGTCAATTTTGGCATTTTGTATGGAATTGCCCAGTCTGAGTGCCATAGTGTCCATGTTTCGCAACCATACAGCAGTACGGAGAGGATACAGCTGAAATAGATCCTGAACTTGGTGGTTGTGCCGAGATGATGTTGATTCCATATTCATTGTAAAAGACCCATGGCAGATACTGTGATGCCAATCCGGTGAAGAACCCCCATGTGAGGAACTGGTGAGTACAGATCCCAAAAAGCAAAAGCTGGAGACTGCTTTGACAGTTTCATTAGTCAAAGAGATTGGGGTCACGGGTGGACCTGATCCCTAGATTTTGCAGCTTTGTCTTTGACCACGAAACATGGAGGCCAACCTTAGCTGACTCCTCCTCCATTTGCTGGAGTGCCTTGCAAAACCTGTCGGGGCTCTGTACTAGAAGAACGACGTCATCCACATAATCAAGGTCTGAGAGCGAGAGATCACCAAGTGGTTGAGACACCTACGCCCTTTAAGGCCTTCCAGAGCATGACTCAGTCAGCTGAATCAAACAGAACTTTAAGATTGACATACGCCACGTGCAGGGGCTACTTGAACTCATGATGTATCTCTGACAGCAAGCGGAGGGCCAAAATGGCATCTAACCTGTTCCTCATAAAGCCTGGCTGTTGGGGGCAACGCTTCTGATGCAGCAGGGCTCAAAACACACCAGCAGAACATGCACAAACATCTTCCCTAGTATGGACAACAAGGTGATCGTCCTGTAGCTCTTACATTCGCTGCACAGTCCTTTACCCTTATAAAGTGAGATTACATTACTGTCCTTCCAGGCGGTTGGCAGTTCCAGTTTTCCACACCAGGCAAAAGACAGCCAGAAGTGATTCTACTACAGGGCCAATAGTGCATTTTAGCTGCTCTGAGGGAATGCCATCAGCACTGGCTGTGCATTGTTTTTCAGTTTGCAGATGGTGCGCTTTACTTCATCCAACATTGGTGCGTCAGTACAAGTGTCTGGGTCTGAAACAAATCATCCAGCTCTGAGCAAGTGACAGCTGGAGGATGGTTCGGGGCACTGTGATCAGTACTACGATGTGTTTTTAATATGATCATGGAACAGTCCTCTTGAAACACAGCAGTTAGTGAATGTTACATTAAAAGAGGGAAATAGCAAAAGGGGATAGTAGATAAGAAGAGAGGTGATAGCTGAAGGGCTCGTAAGTGCCTGTTTGGGGGAACAGCTCAAAACCTAGCCCCTTTTTATGCTGCCTTCTATAATGTGTTGACCTGTGTTTCATAAAGAGATGAAGTATCAGTTTGAGAGAGAGAGAGACGTACTGCATGAGAACTCAGAGATAATGGTGATTACTTTGTCTTGGACACAGTGAAAATCATAAGAACAAGTCATTAACTGATGATCTGGATGCCTGCTGTTGAAGCAAAGCTTCAGCATGCCTAATACACTGGAGGAATTATTCAAGTGTCCTAATGTGAAAATTACTCTGTAGTACAGCTAGGGTCAGTAAGATTTTGGGTTACATGCCACATAATCACCAGTCACAGAATTTTAAGCTGCCCAGGGGGCAGGGTGCTCTTGTAAGCCCCGTATTTGAGGCAACGGTTTCAGTTCTGTAAAATGCTGTAAGCTGTTTGTTCAAGCAAGAGCTGCCCACATTTATCCCTCATTGCCCTCTATTGGACCTTACCCCATGATAGACCAGTAGCCTGCTGCACGGCATCATGAAGAAAATCCAGGTGAATTAATATTGATTTTTTCCCCCCTTGGTTAAGCAGGGAAGCTGTATTCTGACACATTATTACATCAAAGATCTATACACTGTAAATCCTTGAGAAAAGGACCCTCTGTTTCCAAGTATTACAACTGAGTATTTACTAGCACAACTATTGTTACACTTTAATGCAATATCTGGGGCACCCCCCAAATAAAATGGGGAGTACAGAGTAGTGATGGCCTTAATTTGTATGAAAGACTTCTTGTAGTTGAAGGGTAGGATAGCACTAAGAAAGCTCTGCGTGGCATGCTTTGTTGGAGAAAGGGAGCAGCAAGACATGACCCTAGCTGGCATGTGCTTCTACCTGACAGAATGTGCCCTATTGTCCTTAGGGCTAGAGGTGCAAGCTAGTGCAGGAGACAATACTCCTGTGTAATACACCCTCAAGTGTTATTTAAGATTTCATGCTAGTTTGCTCAGGAAGCAAAGATACCTTTCTCCCCGCAAACACAACCCTATTACTATTATTGAGGCAGCACACAGAAGCAGCAATCAGATTCAGGTCCCATTGCAACAGACTTTCACCCTTACTGTTTCAGTCTTACCAGCTAGAATAAGATTTCCTTTTTAGAAAGTTGTTGCCTGGTGAAAGTCCATTGTCAGTTTCAGAAAGCTCAAAGATAGTTAAGGATTTTGTGGATAACTTTGGTGGATCACTGAAGTTAAATGAAGTTTCATATATGTTTGATGACAGATTTACTGAATCGTTTCAACGAAGATAAGCATCCCTTCAAAAAATAAAATATTGTAGAATTCTTTAGGTAAACAACTCTGGGAAAAAGCTTTAGGCCAAGACACTTCAGAGGTCCTGAAGAAACATAAGCCGCTTCAGAAACTACAGTAGAACACAAAAAAGAAGATGTCTAGATTGGTGCGAGGTCTTACCTTTGTAGGCCACAGTCTTGAGTATGGCTCAGGTTGGTAGTACTTGAAAGTTGTGCCTGAATGGGCAATGAAGACTTCACTCCCTTATTACTGGTGAAGATTATCCATACATGTCAGAGTTGATGGGACCATGACTGGGTGGTAGGGGAAAGCTTTCCTTGGTGCTATCCATTCAGTATTGATTTTCTGGATGAATGGACTAAATTTGGATTATTATGTGTCCTCTGTGCAGATGTGCAAGGTGGGAGAGGCACTGAGATGCCTTCTTCTGTACTATTCCCCTTGCACACCTGCACAGGAGACTGACATAACTGAAGTGGAGAAGGCAGGCACTATGCTTGTTTGTACTATTCTCTCAAAGGGGTGAGTGAACCTGCACCTCATAAGGGTTGTGAAACTCCCATTCTGACATGTGTTCCCCAAAGCCTCTGGAGAAATCTTGGCTGAGCTGGTCAGAATTCTTCCTGAAACTCTCACTGCTACATGGCCTCTCTCACCCTTCTGCACTAATGTGGCCAGTAGCTGAAAGCTACAGCCTGGCCCCAAAATGATCATTCCAATTAGTTAATGCTGGTGGATAACCTGTGAAACTAGAAGCAATGAGACTTAGGGTAGGTCTACACTTACCCGGTAGTTCGGCGGCAAGCAAATCGAACTTCTGGGTTCGACTTATCGCATCTTGTCTGGACGCGATAAGTCGAACCCGGAAGTGCTCGCAGTCAACTGTGGTACTCCAGCTCGACGAGAGGAGTACGCGAAGTCGACGGGGGAGCCTGCCTGCCGCGTCTGGACGGAGGTAAGTTCGAACTAAGGTACTTCGAACTTCAGCTATGTATTCACGTAGCTGAAGTTGCGTACCTTAGTTCGAATTGGGGGGTTAGTGTAGACCTGCCCTTAAATAAGGTTCACATTACATTTATTTATTATGTTACTAATGTACATTTTTGGCAATGATTATATGCTTGGCACTGTACAGTACACACATATAGATAATCCCTCGGAGTTTACAGCCCATAGACAGAACATAGATTGATGGGATGTACAAGGTAATAGAGAAGTGTGATTGACTTTGTTGTTTCTTATCTCTTTATGGTCATCATAGAAACCATGTTGCTTGTGATATCTATGGACTACACTAAATGTAAAGGGTCTATCTTTGCATATCATTGCAAGCCAGCATTAAATAGCTCAGGGTCTATGGAAGCTAAATGGAATATTCTCCTATAATAATACTTTGTATGCAATTATGTACGGTGAACTGCCAGTCTGTGTCCCTCATGTAAGCGTGCCCTGAGTGAAGTGTTCAAATTCACCCCGTTCCTGGGTTTTGGCTTTATTAGTAACTCAACCTGTAACAGGCATAACTGTCAAGAGAGCTTGGCTCTCCCTAGATTTTTGTTCCAGAACCTACTGCCCTAGTTTCCTGTCCCTCAGGAGACTCTCTCTCTTCTTCAGTTCTCTGATAGAACTAACTAGCCACAACAACTGCAATGAGGTGGTCAGAACTTCAGCAGCTTCATGCAGGGTTCAAACACCTGCTGACTGGGGGTTAAAAGAAGTGCCCTGTCTGCCTCTTACAGTGGACTTCCATACAATAGCCACTATGTGGGGGAGGGCAACTATTTGACCATCTCTTTAAATTATATAACCATTATTAAGGAGAAAGCTCTCTCCATGACCCCTATGCAATATTCCTCTGGAATTATCTTGTACAAATTATGTGCACAAAAATATATTTGCAGGACTTTTTTTTTGCTTATCTAGCTCTGTTATACCCATGTCTGTAATATGTCCCTCAGTTTGATAGCTCTAATGGTGACTGTAGGGTTTTTTGCTTTTAAGGTAACAGGCAGACCAAGGACCTTTAATGTAGAATGATTTGGTTTGAGTGGTTTCATTTTTTTTAGGTTAACCCCAAAGTTCAGTCTCTCTTTATCTGGTAATTACAATATTAGTGAATTATAAACCTTTCCTCTGCTTTCAGGCTTCTCAATGCCAATAAGATCAACTGCCTCAGGGTAAACACGTTTCAAGATCTTCATAATCTCAACCTGCTATCTCTTTATGACAACAAACTGCAGACCATCAGCAAGGGGCTCTTTGCACCTCTCCAATCGATCCAGACTCTGTGAGTACGCAGACACACTACAACTGACAGCTCTTCCCTTTTCCCCAAAGATGTTCCCTATCTTTGCACTGCCTTTGCATCTGGCATTAAGACAATATTGAAGAAACCCAAGGCCAGTAGCTTCCGGTTTTTGGCAGAAATAAAAGAAAAACATGAAAGAAAAGTATAGAATAAATTCAGCACTGCCAAATTCTACAAGGTTCTACCTCTTTTCCAGAGGTCTTATGAATATAATAAATTTATTAATGAATACAAATATTTCATTCGGGGACATTCAGTGGTTTTAAATAGGAAGGATACTGGGCATGTGCATTTGACTCTATGTAGGGTATATGCACAGCAGACTTTTATATTTAAAAATATGTGCATAATGGTTTTCTGTGAGCATATATATTTGTTATTTATCCCTACTGGACGTTGAGACCTGCTGCATAGTTCATAAGAGTTGAAGCTACATTTTAATTGACATTCTAGGCATGCGGGGTAAATGTGTATCACTGTAAGTTGCTATTCATTTGGTCCAGGTAAAAATATTAATTAAAAAAAAACATGGATCTATTGTGTTTTCTCTGAGTCTTAGTGTGAGAAGATATTAAAGCATTAGGACTAGGAAAGGGGTCAGAAACCCCTTATTTTTCTTAGATACGTAAGTATATATCATAACTGATATTTTACAGGATAAACTTTTAGGGGGGGAGGGATAGCTCAGTGGTTTGAGCATTGGCCTGCTAAACCCAGGGTTGTGAGTTCAATCCTTGAGGGGGCTACTTAGGGATCTTTCAAGGTCCCTTCCAGTTCTAAGAGATAGGATATCTCCATTTAAAAAAAAGATTTTTCATCATAAAGCTGTGAGAACTTCCAAAGAAAGAATAATACTCCTTTCCCAGAGTCTGACTGGCAAACTCATTAAAAAAAGGACCTAAAACTTTGTATGTGTCTGTATGCACACGCTGCAAGACAGGCACTGCACTATGTAAATGAATTTTGTGTATGTTTGCTCATCTAAAAGAAAATGTACAATTGTTATTTTTAGCAACAAGCAAGCTCAAGAGGCTGGGATCATGAAGATAATTTGCCACAAATATTTGGCCACCACCTGGTGCACCAATCCAAGCAGACATTAAAATAAATATTTCTGTGATGTATAAATGGCTCTGATTTGTGCGTGTATATATATAAAACTTACATGTATGCATAAACCAGAGTTAGTTTCAGATAAAGCTAAAAGTTTGCTAATATGACTCTGTTGCAAATGCTAGCTGTGCATGAATTCAACAAACCAAGTGAAACGATATTTTTAAAATGTTAAGCTATAAAAGTTACTTCTTGGGTTCCATGTTTTTTCTAGACAGAGCTTGGGGCCATTACTTAGAGTGTACATCAAGCTTTCCTCATTGCTTCGCATTGAGACACTTCTCCATGGGCAGTTTGATGTTGTAGCTGATTTCCAGTTTCTGCTTTTTTTTAAAGCATGGAGCACAGCCTGCCATCACATACTGTTGATTTAGTTTGGTATTTGGACCTTCCAGTACTGGAGTGGCTTTACTTTACAGGCTCAATGCAGCAACAATGTTTAGCCTCTTTGGGTAACCTCTGTAAGGAACATTTCCCCCCACACACACACACTCTTTACACTCATTTGACTCCACTCTCTCGGGTGCTGCCATCACAACTGGGTGGCATGTTATTTTCATTATATTAAGCCACAACCTCTAAACATACCTGGAACAAGGAAACAAAATAAATTTAGTGTGGATGGAATATGAGCTGGAGAGAAAAATATGCCTAAATACTAGTAGGACCATAACTCTCCGGGAATATGTCCTTATACCTCTGCTCATAAACACAAGTTAACATCTTTCCACATCCAGTTCTCCAACAAATGGACCTTTCATGATTGAGGTCCGCATCCTGCTCCCTTTTGAAGTCAGTGAGAGTTTTGTCATTGATTTCCATGGGAGCAGGCTCAGAGAGAAAGTCCTGACAAACTTTCTTTATTTAATACCTCACTGAGCCCAACAAAGAGGACCAAAACAACTGCAGAAATAATTTTTGTCTTAACCTCTGGGAGCCTAAGCAGAGCAGAAGAGGCCTCTACCTGAAATATTTGTAGATAATCCAGAGGAACTTTATCACCACAATTTGAATGTCTGGTGAAATAACTTTCCAACTAGACTGGTGTATTTCACACAGGCTTTTGCTGAATTATATTAGTCAGGCCCTAGTTTGCATCAGCTGTCTATTCTGAAAAGTTAAAATTTTAGATTGAGGAAAAATCAATGCAAAAAAATTCTATTAGCCCTGAATAGGATATGCAACATTAATTTCACTCTTGAGTGAAGGCCTGTGGCTCATTTGTGGCTTTGCCCACTGATCCAAGGTGCTCTCCTTTACTTATCCAGATTTTTATCCCTAGGAAGCTGAGCTTGTCAATAACACTTCTTTTGAAACCAGGGCACAAAATGTTCTCTCAAATCAGGTGTTTCTAGAAAGATGCGTTTCTATTACAATACATCATGTCAGGCTTCCAAGTGAAAACACTGGAGACAGAAGATCTGTATCCTTTAAATCAGGCTTTGCTGTATTAATTTTTGCTTCCTCCATGAAAGGACTTGCAGCAGGCTTAATGAGCTACGACATACGATAGCTCACAGAATTTTCCCATTCATGTGCAGCTCCATGTGGCTTCCGCCAGGCCTGAGTTTTTGGGAGCTTATTCAATTACTCTACTCTTCAGGTTTGCGTTTGTGAAAAACAATGATGGAGTACAGAGTCACAGGTCATTTCTGATTAAACATCCCATCCCTCTTGCAGACATTTAGCTCAGAATCCATTTGTGTGTGACTGCCATTTGAAGTGGCTGGCTGATTACCTGCAGGATAATCCGATAGAAACCAGCGGCGCTCGATGCAGCAGTCCACGTCGCCTTGCCAACAAACGAATCAGCCAGATCAAGAGCAAGAAGTTCCGCTGCTCAGGTAATTCATTTATCCAGGCTGTACTGCACTTTCAATTCAGAAATAAGCAGGTCCAGAGAGCCTGCTAATCAAATCTGCAGGACAGTGTTTGCTATAATGGATACTGTGGAGCATCTTTTAAAATTAAATTTGGGAAATTCAGTTAGTCCTCCAGAAAACCAATTACCTTATGGATTAAAAAAGAGCCCAGTCTGTAGCTTGTCTTTTTTTAAAAAATCCTTGACATTTAATGTTTAAAGAATGCTGGGTTATAAAATGTCTATGAAAACCAGTGGAGATACAGATGAATTCATATGCCAAATGGTGTATTTGGGAAGGGCAGAAACCTGGATGTACATTGGGCCAAATCCTGGCTTGAATGGGAGCTTTGCCTGAGTAAGTACTCAGCAAAAAAAAAAAAAAAAAAAAAAAGGGGGGGGGGGGGGGGGTGAGGGAGGCGCAGGGGAGAGAGAAAGAAAATAACCTTGTGGATTAGGTCCTACGTAAACTGCAAGGAACAATTGTGACCCCCGAGGGGAACAGGAGGAAATAGACCATATGAATTAGCAGGGCTTTACCATCCATAACTAATTTCTGCAGATCCAACCCAGAAGCTCTTACCTTAATTTTTATTCATTCAAGCAAAGCTGCCATTGCAGTCAGTGGATTTTTGTCCTTAGGAAGAAAGGAATCAAAACTGACCTCAGGGTATGGTCCACAGATTTTGTTATTTACTGTATGTGTAATTAGTTGATGATGATGATGATGATGAAAATAATCTGAAAAGTAGTATATACAGCTCTTCCTCATCCCCACCACCTCATAAACTGTACTATTAGCTCTTTTTCATCTTCCGGACCAGATGTCAACAAAGGGATATCGCCTTATGCAGCTTAATTTAGCAGACTCCGTTTGTTCATGTGTGTGTTGTACTGGTAGCATAGGTTTCAGATTTACTGTACTTGTGACATGCTGTAGGAACAGGCAGAATTTCAGTGTAAGAAAATCTGTTGCTATGTATTGAGAAGAAAAATGACTGTCATTGATGAAATACTTTTCAGTGTTTTCTATAAAAATTACTATCATTTTTGTCCTCTCCCTCCCCACCCCCCGAAAAAACAGCATGATTAATTGTACTCCTGACAGTAAAAGACTGATGGCACTATAAGCTGATGTAGCATGAGAATGAATGGCAGCAGCCCAAAACAAGACATTGCTGCATTGTATGTCTCAGCAAACAGTATTCTCAGATAAACTGCCCTTTACTGATAAAATAAAAGAAGGATAACTTCATTTGCAATCAGACAGTCTTGTAGGCAGGGCTTAAAGCCTTTAAGTAATTTGAGTTGCAGGCTCAAGTCATGCAGTTTAGAGCCAAATCTTAAATTATTAAATTATGGGGTGTTTGAGCCAGGGACTTGGTTTAGGCCCATCCCTGTAGCATAGTAACTAGTCATCAATATTCGCCTTTAAAGAAAATTGGAATCAAAATGGAGAAGTCATGGATATTTACAAAATAAAGAACACTGTGAAGAAGTTAATGACTCTAAATCTATCCCAATCTGCCATTTTTATTTTACTCTATTAATAGGGCAAAGCAATAATCAAAATGTGTTACATGTTCCTATCCTATGCAGTGATACAGGCCATTGGAAAAAAGCTGAGACCATCTGATACAATTTTTGAAGGATCAGAGTTGAGAAGGGACAGCAATTCACCTAATGGTCTTGAAAGTAATGTTTTGTCTGGATTCCTCTGTTGTGTTCTTTCTTCAGTCCATTATGTTCTGAGTCCATCTGTTCCAGCCTTGCTTATCAATTCAATAATATCAAACACCCATGAGAAGGCATACCTCGAGCTTTCCTGGTGTGTGCTTCAGGGGAGGCGGACATGCAGTGTGCAGGCTCCAAAACATGGCTTTAAGTTGGTTGAAAACTAACACTATTGAAAAAATCAATAGAGTTTTTGTCCTTGCCCTTGTTAGTAAAAGCTCCAAATGGCAATGAGAATCATAGCTCGCTACGCATTCTTCTATTCATTTAAAATATGGGCGGAAATTTTGAAGTACTATTCCATCAGATATTTTGATGAATCATTGTTTGTAAACTGATTCAGAGTGCATTCAAGGAGGCAGCATTAGAACGTAGCCTGTTCCTCTATCTTAGAATGCAACAGAAAAATATAATTTTTCCACTTTTTATTTTTGAGGACTATGACATTATCTTGGGCTGTGCCACAACATGTCTTCAGACAGGGATGTAAAATGTGGGATCATTATGTATTTAAAGCAAAAACAGAGGTGTGCAATGCATATCTTTTCACAGGGACAGTCCTGCATCAGCACTGCTGTGATGAGAATACTTAGTGATCTGTCTGTTTATCTTTGCTGACTCAGGGATCCTTCTCATCTGCTTCTTGCATTTGTTGCTCAATGGAGGAATGGGAAAATAGTTTCTGTTGTAAATCTACAGTTTATACCTTCCTGCTCAGAGATTACAAAATTAATTTCTCATGTAGGGCTACTGGTATTTTCATTTTATTTATGTTAGCCCCTTAATAAATTCCAAAGTAAATTTGCCTGAAGTAAGCATGTCTTTCAGTCAAAAAAGTAGTCAATGTATTAATAATTTTTGAGGGGGGCGGGAGGGCAGCCCCATTTTAATACCCTGGCACAGTTCTTGAACTTGAGCGGTGTGGAGGATGCCAAGCTCTCTTGAAATCTGTGGGAGATGCATGTGCCCAGCCCTTCTCAGTACAAGACCCACAATTAGTTCACCTTCGCTGTACTTAGCATTATAGCAACTGGGGAAGAAATGGGCTCCATGTCATGGAGTTCCATCCCAGAAAGTCCACAAAACCCAACCCCAAAGATGTGCAGATTCTTCTTCCTTTGGATTCTCCAAGGTTTCACAAAAGTGTCTTTTCAGGGGGGATTTGAATGAGAAAAGGTGTGGTCATGTGGAATAGGAGGGGGGGTAAAAAGCGAGCTCTGGAGGTGACTCAGAAGTCATCTTGGGGCGAAAGGGGAAGATAATGGAGTTGTGGGAAGGGCTTGGGAGGAAAGATGAGACATTGAAGTTTTGCCCAGTGGAGTTTGAGACATCAGTATCTAGGAGTGGTGTCAGGACAGCATTTGGAGATATGTGGTTAGACGGAAGAGCATAGGCTCAGGCTTTGATAAGTAAACAATAAACTTTATACAAGACAGTAATTAATTTCTGGAGGCTTTTTTCTTGAGTTGGTACTTTCTTCTGCCTTCATTCCCTCCCTATTGTTTCATGCTAGTATTTGCAAAGGTAAATTCTATTCTCCTTGTGGACTGTTCCATCATCAAGGCAGCTCCCCCCGCTCCTCTCCCAGCCCAGTGGTGCAAGCTTTTACTGCCGGGTACCTGATGATGATGGAGCAGCAACATCTTCACAGGGTTATGAGTGTGTCAAGGAAAGAAATTCAGTGCAAGCTTCCTCCAATATGCTCATAAAGGGGGAATGTTGTGTCATTTTCAGTAGCAGCAATACAAGAGCATGATGGGATTTTCCTTCCTCAGCAGCATCTGCTCACTCTCAGCTAACGATACAGTGGACATTAGAGAGACAAAATGGGTGAGGTAATATCTTTTATTGGGCCAACTTTTGTTGGTGAAAGAGACAAGCTTTTGAGCTTACACAGAGTGCTTCTTCAGTGGGACATGTCAGTTCTATGTTACTGGAGGATCCCATCCTTGGTAGGAAAAAAAAAGCTCTTCTGCCTGGTAGCTTTTGACTAAGTTAAGCTTTGTTTTGTAAAGCAGCACTGGTCTTTAGGGGAATAAAAAGGATACAGTATTAGGTTTTGCTGCCTCTGTGGTAGCTCACTGTCACTTCAAGAAATGTCAGATTACTCTGTATACGATGGCTATTGCACGGAGCTCTCCCTGCACTCAAGATTCCTATTTTGTTTGTATAGTGTGTGTGTATATATGTTTGCGTGCACGAGTGCCTGTATTTGATATATATAATGTCAGTTTCTTGTGCATTTGAAAACTGATGGAAGTTCTACCTGCTCAACTCTCCCCACTCCACTTTTGATGATGGTTGAAGAATATTTGTTTCTAAAAGCACCAAATCACAAAAGCTTCCCCTCCTACAGTGTAGAAACATGAACTTCTTTCCCATTTGAAGCCCTAATTACTAAACCTGGCTCCTTAATTCCTCTCGCATTGGGCACCTGTGATTTTTAACTGATTTAATTAGCTGCTACAACACCAGATAGGTCTGTGCAAACCAAAAACAGGGTGAACTATTTAAGAAGGACAATGAGCCATCTGCCAACACAAATCTATCCTTTCAAACTCCGCCTCCCAGTAATTCAATCCAATCAGAAGGCAGCAGCCCTGATACAAATGTTGAAAATGGAGACATAAGCACCTGTATGTTGAGGGACAGTTTCATATCTCTTCTATAACCCTTGTCATCAGACTAGAGAATGATGTATTTTATCAATAGCTGCATCAAAGGCTTCTAATAAAAGCTGTTCATGGTACTTGCAATTTGTCTTTCCCTGTCTTTGTATTTGCATTTGGGTTCTAAGCAACCATTTTGGTGGTAAACATGTTCAAACTTCTTGAACTGGAGCTCCAGACTAGAGCGTAGTCCCCATTATTTGTGATTGTGATGGCCTTTCCCTGTACACCAGACTGAAACTTCACCCCTCTACATTGTGGGCCCAAGGCTGAGGTGCACACTGCATTTACTGAAGCAAAACTCTCATGGCCTCAGGATTGGACCTTACATAGAGAACTCCATGAATGAAGAGATAGGGCTATTTAATGATGAGAGCAGAGCCTGGTAATTGAACCTTTTTTTCCAGTTGTGTTGCCAGCTTACTAATATACCTTAGACAAGTCGCTTAATTTTTCTGTGCCTTGGTTTCCCTAGAGTAAGTGGTTATAATTATTCCATATCTGCAGTGGAGTTGTATGCATGTATACTTTACATTATTTGAGATCTTTAGATGAAAGATGCAAAGTATTATTATTCCTT